GCTCACTAATGTGCAGGTACAGGTCATTTAGTGCCTCACTCCTGTTGTTTGCATTGGAGCTGGGAGGGATGTAAACAGCGAAAAGCAGAATGGCTGTGTATTCCCTCGGTAAATAAAACGGACGGCACTTAATAATCATGAACTCCACCAGTGGTGAGCAGTGTTTGCGGACTACAACGGCATCGCGGCACCATGACTCATTGATGTAAACACAGAGCCCGCCACCGCGGGTCTTACCTCCCGCGACGATAGCTCTGTCTGCTCTGTAGCATGTTAGCTGGTTGAGCTGAATGGCGCTGTCCGGAACGTTGTCGTTGAGCCAAGTTTCCGTAAACACAAAAACACAACAGTCCTTTACAGTCCTCTGTGATGAACGAAGTAGACGGATGTAGTCCAGTTTGTTGTCTAGCGAGCGTACGTTCGCTAGAATGATGGAGGGGATAGCGGGTTTGTGGGGGTTAGCCGCTAGCCTAGTTCGGATACCCCCGCGCTTACCCCTCTTCTGCTTCCTCTCGCGCCGCTTGAAGCGCCTCCATTGTGGGCGAGGTGGTGAGGTGGGGGTCGGAGGATGGGTAGGCATCCGGAGCAAGCCGAGATCTTGCAGCTCCTCAGTGTCCGCGGAGTCTAGCTTGTGAAGTTTGTTTCTACCGATGTCTAGCAGAAATGTTCGACTATATGCGCGCTTAAGGACAGATAAACGTGACGTTGACGCACAATAACACTGCGACGTACAAGACGAAGAACACAAAAACACCGTTTTGTCGGGAGAGAGAGAAGCCGCAGCGTGTGCACGCGCCGCCATCTTGGAGTGAGGATGTTCTTGGATGTTCCATTACACAAATGCATAGAAGAGAGAGAGGACTTTACACACGAACACACACACACATACACACGCTCTCTCTGCTCTGCTCAATCACATGTCTTTCTGAGTTCTCCTATCATCAGTCAGTCTGTTTTCATTCTCTGCATGTTTTTCTAGTTTTCGAATTGAGTTTTATTTTGATCCATACTCTATGTTAGAGGACTGCATTTCCCGGATGAAGGAAAGTCCTTACCCCAGGTGGAGGAGTTCAAGTATCTTGGGGTTTTGTCAGAAGTGAGGGAAGGATGGAGCGTGAGATTGACAGGCAGATTGGTGCAGTGGCAGCAGTAATGTGGTCGATGTACTGGTCCATTTTGGTAAAGAAGGAGCTGAGCTGAAAGGTGAAGTTCTCGATTCACCAGACAATCTACGTTCCTACTCTCACCTATGGTCATGAGCTTTGGGTCATAACCGAAAGGACAAGATCACAGCTACAAGCAGCCGAAATGTGTTTCCTTTGCAGGATAGCAGGGCGCACTCTTACGGATAGGGTGAGAAGCTCTGACACCCAGGAGAAGCTCGGAGTAGAGCCGCTGCTCCTCCACACTGAGAGAAGTCAGCTGAGGTGGCTCAGGAATCTGTTCCAGATGCCTTCTGGATGACTACCTAGGGAGATGTTCCAGGCATGACCTCTGGGAAGTCCTAGGACATGCTGGAGGGTCTATGTCTCACGGCTGGTCTGGGAGTGCCTCGTGATCCCCCTGGAGGAGCTGGAGGAAGTGTCTGGGGAGAGGAAAATCTGGGGTTCGCTCCTGAGACTGCTGGCCCCATGACCTGACCCCGGAAAAGCAGATGAAAATGAATGAATCAATGAAAGAATGTATGCTAAAGGTCACCTAATGAATTTCAAAGTGCAACTGCTCCCAAGAAATGCATCATTTTAACCACTGTAGGGAGGGCGACTGATAGAAAGTAAGATGTAATTGAGAAAGCTTGCTTACGGCAGAGCCAATGGGTAGAGTTTGACATCACAGTTGCTGAACATAACCCCACCCATCAGTTTAACAGAAGTATAGATCAGCTCAGGCTCCACCCACAGAGGAGGATCTGGGTATTATTTGACTCTACGGTGAGCTGCTTTTGGAGGGTGAAAACATTAAACCTGTGCATCAATCCTGGGTCTATTTTAAATGCTGTTTTATTTAAACAGCAGGTTTTGTGGTAAGTTCTTTACTTTTTTAATGTAACCATGTGGTCATAGTTGCAGGTTGAGTCTTTGATCATTGTTTTAATTTTGACAGTGAACCGTTTTAATTGAGTGTTGACGTTGTTTGTGCGAGATTGTGAATTCCTCTTTAGCTAACCTTTCTGAATATTCTAATATTCCAGCAGTTTTTACAATAGTTTTTGCTATGTTTGATGTTTATTTGACAACTTTTCCCCCTCTCCCCCACCTCCTCCAGGTAATATACCAGATGCTTTTACATTTTGCACATTCTTTTAAAGCACAATGACTTACAGTGTGATTCTGTCACAAAGGCAACAGATCAACTTCCCTTAATATTCACTGTTCCTCTTTATTGACTAAATACTGTAACTATGGTACAAAGTAATGTCTGTTCAGCTCAGGAGCTATATCTATAATTATTATAACTAATAATCTTATCGTACTTCCTAATTATTTGAGAATAGTGAACTCCAAACCACAGCTACTTTGAATTAACTATAGTTCCCCAATGAGCTCAAATATTTGGAGAAGACCAAGCTCCAGCACATGCTCACAATAAACCTTATTGTTTGCTGATGATCTCTAATGTTGTTGTTAATATAGTGTTTTTAGTGAGCAGAATTTAAATTAACCATTTACTTAAATTCAACATCTCATCATTTACTCACCTTCAGATTGGTCAGAATCAATGAGAGTTTTGTTCATAAGTTAAAAGGTTTGAAGTTTAGTCAAGTGTTATAAAAGTGTTGTTAAACTAACCTTGAGAAGAGATATGATTGCTTTATTTGATGAGCATATTTTATTTATTGGTCTAAAGACATTGGATCTTCACAAATTTGATCATGTGGATTTTAACAAGGCAAGACATTCTGTTCAAGTTGAGCACCATGGCATCAAACTTGGAGATTGCTCATTCTTTTATATGCAGCTTCACACATGACTGCACACCATCCCAGTCCTCACAGAAGTCCAAGACCAATGAAGCTGATAGGGCAATATTATCTGCAAATAGCAGAGATTAGGTCATGTCATCCTCTCCAGCCCGAAGCGGTACCTGGAAATCTGTTAATAAAATACTGAACAGAACGATTGACAAAGGGCTATCATTCATTCATCTTATTGTCTGCTTAGTCCCTTTATTAATCCGGGGTTGCTACAGCAGAATGAAACGCCAACTTATCCAGCAAGTTTTTACACAGTGGATGCACTTCCAGCCGCAACCTATCTCTGGGAAACATCCACACACGCATTCACACACCCACACTCATACACTACGAACAATTTAGCCTACCCAATTAACCTGTACCACATGTCTTTGGACTGTGGGGGAAACCAGAGCACCCAGAACGCAGAACGCATGGAGAACATGCAAACTCCCCACAGAAATACCAACTGAGCCGAGGCTCGAACCAGCAACCCAGCGACCTTCTTGCTGTGAGGCGACAGCACTACCCACTGCGCCACTGCTTCGCCCAGGGGGGTAGGGTCAGGAAATTTCCTCATGCCGGGATTCCAACTCAGGAGGCCCTGAACTGCTACTGCACCATATGTCAGCACGCTAACCACTAGGCTATTGCGCTGACTGACTTGTTCAACATGCACTTTGAACTAGTCAGACTTACTGCCGGCAAAGCAAAACAAGCACCTGTTCTAATCATAATGAGACAGGACACCATTAACAAAGCGTCCTGGACCCCAAACTCCTATTACACTGCCCACAGAACGCCACATGGGACACAACCAAAATGCCTTTTCCAGGTCCATGAAGCATATGTAGACAGTTTGGGTGAACTCCCGCAAAACCTTGAGAACTGTAGTGAGGGAATAAAACTGGTCCGGTGTTTTCTGTGATCCAGACAAATTTTACATGTAGAGGCTGTGGTTGGAGCACACCCTTCTTAAAAAGTGGAGCCACTACCTCAGTTGCCCCTCCAGAGGCATTGTATGTGAAATCCAAGACAACCCTACCCCACCGAGAGATGTGAGGTACTTGTGGTGTATCTCATTTACCCCAATGCCTGGCCACTGCGTCATTTGCAAACATCAGTGACTTCAGCCAGAATAAACTTTTCAGTGGGATTGAGGAAAACACATTCCTTCCACCATTTGTTTACATCTCCAATCAAGGTAACAGCTAGCCACCTCTACTATAAACAGTGTTGGTAAAGAACTGCTTCTCCATCCTAAGACAGTTCTCTTCCATGGTCTCGTGGACCTCATCCTGGGCCAGAGATTTTGCTTACACAACAATACAAGTACCCACAGCTTACTTGGTCTGCTTCTACCAAAAACAGTCTAGGGAGTCCCTTATGCCAAACAGGCAACATAGGACTCCTTCAGTTTGACAGCAACTCTTACTTCATGTGTCTTCACTGGAATTATGGGTTGCTGCCATGACAGGAATAGGAGGCCTTAGAGTGACATATCCTAATGGCCACATTGAAAATGAAGGAAGACAACTTGGTCCTCTTGGATTCAATGTCTTCAACCTCCCTCCAGATCCAATCAAATCTCTCTCAGAGGTTGGAGTTGAAAATCCCTCTATACCAAGACATGCCTACACCAGCCTGCCATCTCTCAGCATGGCCACGGGCAACTCTAGAGTAGGTGAGAGTCCAGATCTTCTTGAGAACTTGGGTGCCAGAGCTATGGAGGCGAGGCCTGCTACTGCTCCGCCTCCTCCCTGGCCTTCAACCACTGCCCAATCTGCATTTCACCATCCCCATACAACTCCTCCTGCAGGTGGAGTGTCAAATGAGAGATTGCACATGCATTCAAGCCCTGACCACAGGTCTGGCTCCAGTGTCCCTGGATGCACCATGAAGTGCATCACTTTTCTCATAAGGGTTTTTAGAGAAACAAAAAAAAAACTCTTACTGTTTTTAAAAATATCTGCAGCAGTGGACTGATCAGATCTGTCATCTATTTCCCCTTACATTAGGCAAAAGAACACAGTAATTGTCCACCAAACACAAGATTGAAAACATGCAGAGAGTCAAAGACAAGCACAAAGCCATCATGAGGAACAAGTATGATAGATTATATGAAGGAATCAAACTACAAGAGACCGAAACCCTCCTAAACCGGATCTACACCCAGCTGTACATCATAGATGGAGAGAGTGGAGGAGTAAATGAAGAACATGAGGTTTTACAGATGGAGAAAACAGCCAGAACAAAACACTCCCAACACACTCCAATCTACTGCAATGACATCTTTAAAGAGGAGAAAGAGCAAATCAAGACTGTTCTTACTAAAGGCATCGCTGGAATCGGAAAAACCGTCTCTGTGCAGAAGTTCATTCTGGACTGGGCCGAGGGAAAAGCCAATCAGGATGTAGATTTCATGTTTGTGCTTCCATTTCGAGAGCTGAACTTGATCAGAGATCATCAGTACAGTCTTCACACACTTCTGCTGGACTTTCATCCTGAACTTGAAGATCTGGAGCCCAAGATTTATGAGGAGTGTAAAGTTGTGTTCATCTTTGATGGTCTGGATGAAAGCAGAATCACACTGATGTTTTCAGACGCTCAGAAAGTTTGTGATGTGACTGAGACTTCATCAGTGGCTGTGTTGATGTCAAAGCTGATGAAAGGAGAGCTGCTTCCCTCTGCTCTCATCTGGATCACCTCCAGACCAGCAGCAGCCAATCAGATCCCCTCCAAATACATCAAGCGTCTGACAGAAATTCAGGGATTCACTGAGCCTCAGAAGGAGGAATATTTCAGGAAGAGAATCAGTGAGCAGCATCAAGCCAGCAGAATCATCTCACACATCAGAAGAGCAAGAAGCCTCCACATCATGTGCCACATACCCGTCTTCTGCTGGATCTCATCCACTGTGCTTCAGAAGCTCCTGGAAGAAGATCTGAGTGCAGAAATCCCTCAAACTCTGACTGAAATGTACATCCACTTCCTGCTGATTCAGATCAACATGAGGAATCAGAAGTATGAAGAGAGAGATCCAGAGAAACTCCTGCAGTCCAACAGAGAAGTGATTGTCAAACTTGCTGAAGTGGCTTTCAGACAGCTGATGAAGGGCAATGTGATGTTCTATGAGGAGGACCTGATTGAGAGCGGTGTAGATGCAGCTCACACCTCAATATATTCTGGGATTTGCACTGAGATCTTTAAGGAGGAATCTGTGATTCAGCAGAGGAAAGTCTACAGCTTCATCCATCTGAGTGTTCAGGAGTTTCTGGCTGCTTTCTATGTGTTTTATTACTTCATAAGCAACACCACAGAGCCATTTTTAGATTCATTGCATAATTTACATAAGAGAGCAGTAGAAAAAACCATTGAGAGTGAGAATGGGCGTCTGGATCTGTTCCTGCGGTTCCTGCTGGGCGTCTCACTGGAGTCCAATCAGAGCCTCTTCCAGGATCTACTGACACACACAGAGAAGAGCTCAGAGAGCATCAGGAGAAGCACACAGTACATTAAAGAGAAGATCAGAGATGGACATGGACTCTCCACTGAAAGATCCATCAATCTGTTCCTCTGTCTGCAGGAAGTGAAAGATCAGACTCTGTCCAGAGAGATTCAGGAGTTTGTGAAATCAGACAAACAGTCAGAGAAGAAACTCTCTCCTGCTCACTGCTCAACAATCGCCTACATGCTTCAGATGTCAGAGGAGGTGCTGGATGAGCTGGAGCTCCACAAATACAACACATCAGATGAGGGCAGGAGAAGACTGATACCAGCCGTCAGCAACTGCACAAGAGCCCTGTGAGTGTTTATGTTACTGCTTTGTTTCTTGCATATATTTACCTCGTATTAAATTACCTTGTTCTCCTCTTCTTTCAGTCTTGCTGGCTGTAATCTCTCTGCTCAGGATTGTGAAATTGTGTCGTCAGTTCTTCAATCCTCAAACTGTGTCCTGAGAGAGCTGGACCTGAGTAACAATGACCTGCAGGATTCAGGAGTGAAGCTGCTCTCTGATGGACTGAAGAGTCCAAACTGTCAGCTGGAGATACTGAGGTATTAAGAACATATAAAAGAGAGAATTATGTCAATATCTGTAGATGATCCATCTGTTTGTGCTTTGGTGTCTGCAGGTTGTCTGGCTGTATGGTGACAGAGGAAGGCTGTGGTTTTCTATCTTCAGCTCTGAGTTCAAACCCCTCACACCTGAGAGAGCTGGATCTGAGCTACAATCACCCAAGACAATCAGGAGTCCAGCTGCTCCAACACACACTAGAGAAACTCAAGTAAGTGTGACAAAATCATTCATTGATTCATTTGTGAGTGTTTACGTGAGTTTGCAAACATCCATTATTATGCTTTGGAAGAATAATTTCTTCTTCTGAATAATGTGTATTTTCCAGTGTGGACAATGGAGGTGCTTTAAGAATCACACCAGGACTGAATAAATGTGGGTCCTCTCATACTTTGCATGGCTCTTACAGTTCTGAACAGCGCTGTGAAATGTTTTTAATATGTTTTTGATCTCTCCTCTTGTGTTCAGATGCAGTAGATCTCACTCTGGATCCAAACACTGCAAACACTAACATCATCCTGTCTGAGGACAACAGAAAGGCAACATACACAGAAGAGCCACAGCCGTATCCTGATCACCCAGAGAGATTTGTTGGTGGTGAACGGGTTCTGTGCCAAGAGAAACTAACTGGGCGCTGTTACTGGGAGGTGAAATGGAGTGGATGGGGTCATGCAGCGGTGACGTATAGAGGAATCAGGAGGAAGGGAGGCAGCTACTGCAGGTTTGGGTACAATGACAAATCCTGGAGTCTGGATTACTCTGATGACAGATTCACTGTCTGGCACAATAAAAAGAGAATCGACATACCAGCCCTTTCACCTCAGTCTAATAGAGTAGGGGTGTATGTGGACGTGCCGTCCGGCTCTCTGTCCTTCTACAGCATTTCTGACACACACACACTCACACACTTACACACATACAACACCACATTCACTGAACCCCTCTATGCTGGGTTCAGAGTTTATGAGTCTGAACTGTCTTTGTGCCAGATATAACAACACAGAGAGAACAACAGACTGTCCACTGACTTTATTGTTTGCTAATTAAAACCACACACATTTATTAAAATGTTCTGTTTCATGCAGTATATAATGTAACTTGGGGAAAGGGATATAGATTGCTATTTACAGTGAAGGTTTGGAATCAGGACATTGACTGATTATTGGTCAAGTAATGAAAGCTACTGAAAAAAGCTGTACAGCAATTTAGCCATTCTTTAAGGATTTTGAGAGGCCTGATCAGATTTTTGCAGCCAAAAGTGACTAACTGCATTGCTTTTCTCTAAAAGTCCTATTTTTATGGCCTTGTTGTTTTACTGTTTATATACCATTTTTTAATCCATATTGAGAAAAGATACTTTTAAATCGGCTTACTTACCCACTAAGCACAGACATGTCCAAAAAACATAAATGAAAAGTCACAGTCGTAAGTTTAAAAGATGTCCACTGAGAAGCCAGACTAAGGGTTTTTGCAATGTCTTTTTTAGACTTCTTTTTAGCATTCAGTATTATTATCCAAGTGACAAAAATAGCGAACATTCAAAAGACATCCACTCAGTTTTTGCGATGCCTTTTTTAGACAAAATTCTACTGATCGGTATTAACAATCAAGTTAAATTAAAATTGAACATTTAAAAGATGTCTACTGGTGAGTTGTTGCAATGTCTTTTTTAACACTACAAATTGCTCATTCATCTACTCTGAAGAAGCTGAAGGTCACCACTCATTGCTTTTCACCAAGAACGGTCATAGATACACGGACACCAGAGTATTTAAGAGCCTTTAATCAGCTTTATGTCTGCTGTAGTAACGTTACAAATATGTTATTGTTATCTAAATTTGTTACATTGCTACTTACAAGTGGTCCTACATTTAATGCACTATTGAAGTTATTTCAACATAAGCAACATGTGTATTTGCACATAATGGAATTTCAGTATTTAAGTTCAGTTTTAGATACATAATCATTAAGCTTTACATGCTGATGTTAGTTTAACAATTTCAAGGTCAGCAGCCAGCTGCCATGCACGATGAACAACTTCAAATGTTCTGTTTCAAATGTTTCAAAATGGAACATTTTCATAAAATGTAGTCCTTACAAAATAGACAACCAGTTGTTACCTTTCCACACATGGCTATGTAGTTTAGTATTTTCTTCCCCCTTAATAATAAAAATATTAATTTAAAAAATGTGCATGATTGTGTTTTTTTTTTAGCCTGTTTCCACCAATTAATATGTTTCTGTACAGTACATTACGCTTTTTTATGTCTGTTTCCACTGTTAATGGTATTGGGTATTTTTTCCAAAGAGTACCTAACACAAGAAAACTGTACCAAATAGTGGAACGCGACTCGCAGCTGAACACTATTGTTTTATAACTATTGTACTATTGTCTTGAACACTATTGTACTATAATCTTCTATCAGAAGCTGCTTTGACACAATCTACATTGTAAAATAGCTGTAGAAGTAAAGATAAATTGAATATTGGTTTGCAGAGAATTGTCACTAGCGCGTGCAACAAGTCAGGGGAATGAAAACACAGGAAGCTCCATTTTTAAATACACAGCCAATATGTGACATCGTAATAATACATATGAGCCATTAACAAATCTTGTCTTCTTGTGACAAACAGCCGCATACCAAAAAGCAAAAATCAGAATGTGCTGGTTGTCCTAATGTTCTTTACGAGGCCATCTAAAAGCATGTGGAAAATGAGAGTAATTTTGCTTTTTCTATTTTGTGTGTGCATCTACATTTGAAATAATGAACTTATTCAATTCAAGAGTATTTAAATAGCGTTTTTTCAAAATAATTATTGTTTTGAAGCAGCAATACAAAAGTTGTACATTGTTGCATTATAATCACATTTGGAAAAATTAAGGCTATTAGTTACCGCACTTTAATTAGTTACTAACATAGTTAACCTGCAGTTATACAGTTTATAGGTGATGTCTATGTGTACATGTTTAATGAAGTCTACTTGTGTATTAAGTGAATGTGTCGTCTTGGAAGTCCTTGATGGTTGTTATCATCACTTCACAGATGCCATCAATGTCGTTGCACAATCTCTAGAGACCTTGGGATGGACATCCCCAGGTGGATATAGAGAAAAAAGAAAATATTTAGCCTAGCTGTTAAATAGTCAATATAAACAAACATAGAAACAAACATGTAAAGCATAAAAGTATTTCTAATTAATTGCGTGGTGCATTTAGAAGTGTCCTACAAGTGGTTTGCCAAGCCCACCTACCTGCATGGAGCACACTTACATCCAACAGTTATTTGATGCATTGCATGTATGCTTTACTAAACAGACAGGTCTTTAATCTAGTGTTGAACTGAGAGAGTGTGTCTGAACTTCGGACATTATCAGGAAGGCTATTCCAGAGTTTAGGAGCCATAAATGAGAAGGCTCGACCTCCTTTACTCGACCTTGCTATTCCTGGTACTACCAGAAGCCCTGAGTTTTGAGATCTTAAAGAGCGAGTTGGTTTGTAGCGAGACAGAATGTTGGTTAGATCAACAGAAGCTCAATTATTTAAAGCTTTATAGGTAAAAAGCAAAATTTTAAATTCAATACGAAGCTTAACAGGCAGCCAGTGTAAGGAGGATAAAATTGGGGTGATATGATCATATTTTCTAGACCTGGTCAGAACTCTGGCTGCTGCATTTTGTACTAGCTAAAGTTTTTTATTAGAGGATGCTGGGCAGCCAGCAAATAGAGCATTACAGTAATTCAGCCTAGAAGTTATAAAAGCATGGACTAGCTTTAGCTAAAATAGTATGCTTCATAGCTTAGTGATATTTCTCAGATGAAATAAGGGGGTTTTTGTGACATGGGTAAAATGATTTTGAAAAGTTAAATTGCTGTCTAATCCTAACATATCCCTCAAATTGCAGTTGTGAGATCTGCTGTGTATGGAATTTTGGCCCAATAAGTGATACAAAGTTTTGTGTGAATTCATAAAGAAATTGTTGGTCATGTATCATCTGCATAGCAATGAAAGCTGTTCCAATGGTAAATTTAAGCTCATTATAATAACTTATGCATGATTATTATTCAATTCAATTCAGCTTTATTTTTTATAGAGCTTTTACAATGTAGCTTGAGTCAAAGCAGCTTCACATAAAAGATCATAGTCAGTTCAGTGTGGTTTATTAGTCACTATTGAGGACTTGAACACTGAACAGCAAATCTATCGTTGCACAGCTTTATCGATACCAGACCATGCAAGCTAGTGGTAAAAGCGAAGAGGGAAAAAAACTTCACCATTTGGCGAGAGTGAAGAAAAAAAACCTTGAGAGAAATCATACTCAGTTCGGCACGGACATTTTAACGCTGGCCAAACGTCTTGTGCAGAGCTGCAGTCTCAGTGGTGTAGGCAGGAAGTTGGGCCTCAGCAAATATTATTAAAGTGCATCTTACATCCATTTAGAAATGGATAAACGAGAGACTGAAGTGTAAAGAATATATATAATTGCTAACATTTCAGTAATACACATAAGCTATGATCTTTAGCTATCATAAAATCCTGTTCATAGAAAGGTTTGTAATTAATATTCATACATCTGTATTTAAATAAAGTATCTTTTTTTGTGCTTCTCCTACAATATGTGAACAACCTAAATGGCTTTACTTTTAGTTTTCTTTGAGAAAGAATAACATCAAATGGGCAATTAGTGGGCACCACTTAGACATCTAGCCATTGAGTGATGAGAGTCTACAATTGAACTCGTCATCATTATAAATAATGATGGAACCAGAGCATTCTAAACTGTCTGACATTTTCAAGTTTGCACACTCCTTTAATATAATTTTTAGTGATCTTCAACTGATGTAGCTGAACATCATTAGCGTCAACATGGATAACAATCTTACTAAAGTTTTGTTCACATTTAGCCAGCACTTTTAAATTTGACTTTATTTCAAGCACTCTATTTCTTGGCAGATATTTTCAATTCATCTTTATTTCTATAGCGCTTTTACAATATAGATTGTGTCAAAGCAGCAAATTGCTTTAAAGCAGCATTTGACTATGGTGACTGGTGTCTCTTTACACATTTCATACTATTGAGTCATCAATTATTAAGGCACTTTCATTAGGTTTCTCGGTGTGTACAACATGCGCCAATTAATGTACAGGGTTTGCTGATCTTGTTACATTCAAAACCTAAAATTTAAATTCTTAACATTCTTGCTGTCCTCAATTAAAGTTTGGATTTGTTGCACTAAATCTGAGAGCTTCTCTGACTGCCTGACCTTTTCCTTATGTTAGATATATACATTTTCTAAAGAAAATGTGAGTGAGGCTTGTTGTGGTAAAACCCGGTCCCGGGCAGTTGATATGGTGTAAGCCATTGACATTGTCTTTTGAGTGGTTTCTAGTTGGTTATTTCATGTTTGAGCATTATTGTGTTAATAAAAGTACATAACAGTAATAATATTAATCAGCTCAGTAACTTAATACATTTTCAAACAAAAATACATAATATGGCTCCACACAGTGGCGATCAAAATTCTCTTTTGAGATTTTTCTCTGAGGAAATGATGATACGCTGCGCCACAGCAAGGAAGTGTGATTCTGTTTCATTTGACTGAAAGCAACAACAAGTAGGTTTAAACCTGTCGACGCTGGATTTTGTGACTGCATATTTTCTGGTATGTTTGGAACTTAATTTTATATTTCAGGACTTATGTTTGTAAAACAAAAAAAATACTGTTTATTTCAGCTTTTCTTCTTACATGATCTTTCAGACCTGGTTACTTGTTATACGTTATCACATTTTATTTCAGTATAATAGTGATTTAAATTTTATTTTCATACATGAACATAACAGGATTATTTGTTTAACAGCTCCACCAAAAAAAAAGTATTTGAGTAAAAACATACACTGAAATATATTGTGTAAAATTTCTTTAATGTCTATAAATGAATGATTTTGATTAACTCTCAACCACCGCCACCAAATGTAAATGAAAGCATATACAACAAAATATGATTTCTCTGTTAGGATTTCTCTATTAGGCATTTAACAGTCATTTCTAATGTCGTTGAAGACAATCATTTAGAATCTGAGTTTCAGTTCCACTCAGCAGATGATATGGTTTTGTCATGTGACAGATGTTACTTTATTTCATCAGAAAAAAGAGGATATGAAAGTATATGCAGCTTCAAAAATAATATCCACAGTAATGAACATTTCAACATTTTACCAATACATTTGGCTGTACCCTAATTTACAAATAATATTACAGACTAAAGTATATTAACTTGGATCTCTGTTAAACACTTTAAACCTTGGTGTTTCCACAGAAAGTTCTGAAGTCAGTCCCTCAACACACTTTTAACAAAATAAAAGAAGGACAGAGACTTTAACATGAGTCTCAGTGTAGGGACAGAAGAAGAGGGCTCTGTGTGTAAAATGAGATCAGCATCTGCTGGATCAGACAATGTGTCTGTGAAGAGTGATCAGTCCATGGGGTATCATCCTAACCTCAGTGATGAAACACTGACGTCTGACTTCAGGTAAGTCTCTGGCCATTTCAGCGTTGACAAATGCGTTTATATAAAGTGACTTACAGTGCCGTTCACATGCCTGTAGTGAGTGAGAGATTAATAATCCTATGATAAAAATTCAATTCATCTTTATTTCTACGACACTTTTACAATGTAGATTGTGTAAAAGCAACTTCACATGGAATATAGATAGTAAATTGAAACAGGGTAGTTCAGTTTTCAGAGTTTAAGTTCAGTTTAGTTCAGTTCAGTGTGGTTTATAATGACTACTGAGAGTCCAAACACTGAAGAGCAAATTCATCAATGCGCAGCTCTACAGATCCCGAACCAAGCAAGCCAGTGGCGACAGCGGAGAGGAAAAAACTTTACCAATTGGTGAAAGTGAGGAATTAAAACCTGGAGAGACACCAGGCTCAGTTGGGCACGACCATTTCTCCTCTGGCCAAACGTCTTGTGCAGAGCTGCATTCTAGGTGCCGGAGGCTGGAGAAGCAGACCTCATCGAAGACTCGTCTGTCCCTGGAGTGTCACAGGATTCAGTCTCATGCTCTCCATGACCACCACAGCAGCTGCTCAGGATACAGCCTGGTCGAGGATTATGGAAACCTTGGGATCATCTCGTCGCTGGTCTTGGATCACATCAGTGGCGCTGAATAGTCTCTGGGGGCCT